GCATTAAAGCAGAGGTTATTTGGGACTGTTAAGTGCTTCATTGCCACCATGGTCTCTAATATTACTTTATTTACAGGCCTTACTTAGACCCTTTGCATTAAAGCAGAGGATATTTGGGACTGTTAATGTGCTTCATTGCTGCTGTGGTCCCTGATGTTATAGTGTCACAGGCCTTATTTAGAACCTTTACAACACAAAAGAAGATACTTGGGACTGTTCAAGTGCTTCATTGCTGCTGTGGTCCCTGTTACTTCCGTTTACAGGCCTTGTTTAGACCTTTGCATTAAAGCAGAGGTTATTTGGGACTGTTAAGTGCTTCATTGCTCCTGTGCTCCCTGTTACTACAGTTTCATAGGCCTATTTAGACCCTTTACATTAAAGTAGAGTCTACTTGGGACTGTTAAAGTGCTTTATTGCTGCCATGGTTCTTAATGTTAGTAGCTTCACAGACCTTATTTAAAACCTTTGCAACACAAAGGAGGTATTCAAATTCATAATTGCAGCTGTGGCCTCTTGATAATATAATATGCCATACTCTCCTACTTTGGTATTAGTGCAGAGGGTACTTGGTGCTGTTAAAAGTACTTAATTGCCGCTGTGGTCCCTCTGTTAGTGTAGTTTCACGTCCCCTCCTCCTTTGCATCACGGTTGATCGGACTTGGGACTGTCACTTTACTTAATTGCACCTGGTATCTCTTCCTTCCTTTTACTCCCTCTGCGTTGTTGCAGAAGTTATTTGGGACTGTTAAAGTGCTTAGATAGTGCCCTGGCTCCTTTCGTTCCTCAGTTTCCTCCTCCTCCCTCTTCATGGTAGCAGAGGGTGCTTGGGATTGTTGGCTTGCTCAGTTGTAGCTGTGGCCCCTTATGTTTTTCTTTCCCCATCTTTGCCTACTTCCTTTGCATTGCTGCAGAGGTTACTTGGGACTGTTACTGTTCTAACGGCAGTTTGTTCCCTTTCCTAGTGTGGTTTCCTATCCCCTCCTGCACCCTGTGCATTGAAATAGGGCAGTGAGTGAGAAGGCCCTGACCTTGGCACTGTTAATGTTCACAGTTGCATCGTCCCTCTTGCTGTGCTGTAAACGAACACCTCACTCGTCCTCCTTGTATTCACCTATGGACCCACTTTGTGTAAGACTTCTGTATTACATGGTAACTGACCAGAGTATTGCAGACCAAGTCCCTTGTACCCTTGATTTGGTACAGCAAGGTGCATTATGTTACTTTTTTCTGGGACTATTTAGGTGCAAAATACCAATGTTCATGAGTCCTTGATTTAAACAAATATCCCATCCTAATATAACTAATATAGCAAGTGATATAATAAGACCCCCTTATCTAGGGGGTCTTAAGGTGCTCGTGCCTTCCTGATAAGCTGATGTCCTGACTTCTTACTGTAAGAGCAGGTGGCACTGAGCACAAGACTTCTTCTTGACCAGTTAACGTATAAAATTGTGCTGGGGTCCCATTCCATCATTTCTCCTTTGCATCGTGGATGCTGAACCAAACTAAGGCTGCTTCTCCTGTGGTGTAAATGTGTATTATTATAGTAGCCTGTGCTCCCGTATGTTAAAGTAGGACCCTGTTTCCTTGCCTTATTTACACTGTGACAGGGGCTTCTGGCTAGCCAATATCCACTCAGAATGTTTGTTCAGACTGACATTTGCTCTTGTACCCATACACTGGGTAAGGACCCTCCCCATTCCTCTGACATTTCAGTCTGCTACTCAAAACCTTACACAAAATGCAGCTCATGTGCACAATCTTAGTTGCCTGATATACATTTTCAGTTGAATTAACTGAGTCCATGGCACCTTTACACCCTCTTTGCTTTACTGCAAGGGGTAATAGCCACTTAAGGTTCCTTTTCCAAACTGTTAGTGTACATACAAAAATTACACTAGTGTTCTTCCCCTTCACATGTCCTTTGAAGGACTGCAGGGTGGTTGACCCATAAGGTCCTATTACTTGGACTGCCAGTATGTGTGAAGGTATTTGTCTGGGTTCCTGTGCACTAATCAAAGATAACTCTTCTCCCCACTCCCTTTGTGACAACCAAGGAGTATCCCCTCCCCAAAATGGTTGCACTGGACAGTCAAGATGCACAAAGGCAAGTGCCCAGAGCCATGCATCTTGGAGCTAAATGAACACAATGCACATGGCTCACCCCACTGGAATCAGATCAACCCCCCCTTTTGCAGTACAGCGGGGTGCTGACCACAGGCCTCTCTTGGCCTGTTGCTGTTTGTGCTGTTGTATATGAATTCCTGTGCACTGGACAAGCCCACCCCTCATCCCCCCTTCCCCTCCCACTGCCCCCTCCCCAAAATGGTTGCACTGGACACTGGACAGTCAAGATGCACAATGGCAAGTGCCCACAGCCATGCAACCTGGAGATTACTATGCATAATTACACGTTTAAATCTATTTAAATAAGATCTTATCCTTTTAGTTCTTTATAGTTAACATGGGGGCTGACCATTATGGCCTCTTCATAGCTTGTTCATATGAGTAGTTATTTTTCATATGCCTGGACTTTGGTAAGGACTTCCTTCTCTTCAATTTTGTTTTAGCTAGGAGTACCCATGACTTTAAGATTGTTATATTTGCACACGGAATATAGTTCTAGTTGAGTACATGGGACATTATTATACATAAAGGCCACTCTTGCCCCTTTGAATTATAGCAGGCCTGCTCTCCCATTCATCTTGTCCTGCCAGTGTACAGAACTGCATTTGTCTGATTCCTTAGGCCCCTTCCCATGACCATTGGAATTCATATGCTTTCTAGTAGGTGCCCACTGCTAACACCTGAACACAAAGACACTTAATGTGTACAATTGGAGTTTTCTACAACCTGTCACTTGCCAGGACTGTTGTACCTCCTTTGTTCTGCTGTGGAGGCAACCATTACCCACCCATCCTCCAGCCCCAACTGCCTTTGGAGTGGACCACTAACCTGCATTATTGGAATTGCCTTCATCAATCATAGACAAAATCATACCTCTCAGCTTTCCTTGTGGACTGGTAGTATGTGTAGTTGCAGTGTTCACTACTCAGTATTTTTTCACTTGGAAAGTTCATGTTCACAAAATGCAGTTTTTCAAAGCATGTCTTATCCCAGAACCCTTGTACCTTCTGCTTTAGAGCAAGGCAATGCTGTTGACCTAATACACTTTCTTTTGTAATTAATTATGCATAATTGCATTTGTCCATCTATTCTGCTGGACTGGGATTGCATCCCTTTTTACCCCCTTTGCTTCAAGGCCATGTTAATGATGAATGAATTCTTCTCCTGAGAATACTAGTGTGCATAATTGTATTTGTAGATCAGTACTGTCAGAAAAGCCATTGGCTTATTGCTGAGGAGTGCTACCATCGCCTCAGCTTTTGGACAATTAATATGCACTAATAACAATGATCAAAATATTGATCATTAGAAAAGACCCTTTTACCTTTCATATACCTTTCATCAGGGAGTGCAGACTGAGGCCCCTTTCTCACTATTGATGTGAATATTTATAGTTCTCTCTTTCCTGTCCTGTTAGAGGAGTACACTTACACTCCCTTGCATTACTACTGCAGCGGCTGCAGACCATACACATTTTCTCCTGGGACTGTAAATGGACAGAAAGGCAGTTTTCCCAAACACTTCCAGCCCTAATTTCCCGTGGCATATACAAGTAAAAACATCATACTATGCCATGAATTTGTCCACCATCTGCCCACACTCCTGTTCCTTTTGTATTGCTCCACTGTATAAAATTCCACGTAGTCATGCTCTACCTCCTTCCCCTCCCCCACCCCTCACCTGTCCTTGAATCCTGATGAACTACTTCAAGTGTTCGTTATTTTCAACTATTAAATAAGACTGCTCCCTCAATCCTCCCCTCGCCCCTGGCCTGCCCCTTTATTGCTGGGGAATGTTTAGTGGGAATGTTTTACCCCTTCCTCTTGGGTAAAAAAAGTTAACAATCTCAGATGTCATTGGTTTACCCACTTTGCATTGTTACAGTGCTTCAGCTGCACGTTCCTTTATCCTGCCAATCTGATAAGGAGCTCCACTTCCTTCTTTGCTTTGTAGTGCTGATTATCCAAAGCCCCCTGTGTTTTTAACTAGCACAGTAATGTTGTCCCAATTTTGAGCCCATCAACCCAAGATGTCCATGTTGTATTTGTGCAGTATTGACTACTGAAAGCAGGTCGAAACTCAGTGGATGGACCGCAATTCCTTTTCCTGCATTTCTTAATGATTCCAATACCAATTGTCACATCCTGGGGACAGGGACCATCCTTGCCCACCTCTGTTACCACTTTACTGGGCAAAATGCTTGAAATAAGCCAGGCCCACAGAGTGGGGTTGCTGTCTTTATTTTCGATGTTCAATATGTATCACTATCCATTGAAAATTGTCTCCCTAGGAAAGAAAAGGTTAGCATTGTCTCTATGTTCTTTCCTGAGCAGATGGCCTGGCTGCAAATCTCTCATCTTAAATATTGCCATTGTTAAATGCCAGTTGCCAGGAGGCAACCAAAAGTTGTTGTTAGTTTTTTATTTTCTAAAGAAAGGTGTGTGGAATGGAAGGTGTAGTTGATAACCTGGTCATTAAATATTTGAAGTCTAAAAATTCATTTGTATCATGTACCTAATGACCAGTGTCTCTCATTTTACTAAGGGTGGTGGGTCTGTGGATAGACCACTGTGACTCTTGCTGTTTTATTATTACTAAAGTTGATGAGTTCTCAAGTGAAACTCTTAAAGACCAGAACCTTTGGTGGGCTCTACCACCATTCATTTTTAGGAAAACTATGGAGACTTTATAGTCCTTAAATTTGTTCATCTGGAGCACCAACCAGTCCAGTCCCTATTTACTTCAACAAGATTATTGTAAGACAATTTAATGAGAGAATGAATATATGCTGAGATGCTTTTGAAAACCATAGGTCACCTTTTATGATTAATCTGTTACATAAAATGCACCCTGTTTTAATTATTTTAATTTAAAGTAGCCCATAGCACCACACTCAGATGAGGATTTAGAACTGATGGGACCAGTTTTCTGTGTTCTATTAAAAGAAAGAAGCCAAGATTCATCATTTTTGGGGGGTATAAACTTTAGCAGTGAGTTGATGCCTGAGAAAGTGGATAACATGCCAGCCTCTGGTATACAAGCTGTTTGGTAGCGGAGAAAATTTAGTAAGGAACTGCTGAAACAAATCACTAGTTTCAGTGTGGCAGTTCTTTGTGATCACTGAAAAAGGATACTATTCCTCTGAGAAGGATGTCAAAAGATCGGCTCAGCTCAGGGTGCAGTTTGCACTAGCTCCTTGGACAGCTGTAAGAAGAGTCTCTGGCTCTTTAGAATACTGTAAGTACTATTTTGTAGCTTCTAAGCAATCTTCTCCCTGTTCTGTTGTCTTTCTTTATGATGCTACTCATAGAAAAGTCATGGAGTCCAATCAGTCTCCATTCCTGTCCCCACCTCATCTGCAGTTTCTACCTCCATCACCACATGCGCTGACCAGCAGGATTCTAGACTATATATTGTGTATCCAGCCCTATGCTAGGTTACACTGAAGTGAGGGGTAGAAATTATGTTATACTGCAAGATCTCTTGTCCTGGAGATGATTGTATTAAGGCACTAATTAAGCACATTTGAAGTAAATTTAGGAAATGATAATCAAGTGCTGTCTTGTATGAACTTTAAGTTGCAGGGCTTTACAAAGTGGGCCCACGAGGGTTTGAAGTGGATAGTACAGAAGAGAAGATTTCATTCTTCTCTTTGATTCATGACATGACTGATAACCGTAAGCTTCTGGACAGTCCAGTGGGTTTATCATAATGTCATTTGTACCTCTTTTGGAGGCATGGAAAATGATGAATGAGATAAGAATTGGCCATTGGATTTGGCTATATGCCAAGGCTGACTGTTGACTATAAAAATCTCATAAACTTGAGGTTTTCAAGGTTCATGGGTTGGGGATATAAATCCAACACATTGTTTCTTTGTATCTTTTTATTCTATCTCTGCCTAAGAACAGATGAAAGCAGTGATGCCATTTTAGTTTGAGATGTTTATGAAATGTTTGGCAAGAAGGCAAATGGGCAAATGTTTTATAAGAATACCTTGACCTTTGCCTACTTTATGATGTATTTTCTATACCTTCTTCCCCTTCTTCTTTTCAATGAGTACTTGGGTAAACCAAAGCAGCTTAGCCATTCTGATGTGTTCTTATAATACTAACACAAAGGTCCAGCTGAAAAGAATATTAATATCAAATTTGAAACATTTTTTTTGTGCACATGCATCTAAGCGGGAACAAGAACCAAATACATGAGCTGGGCTTCTCTTACTGCTCATTTTACTTCATATCCCTATTTTCTCACAGTATGCCTCACCCCCTACCTCTGCCAATGTGTTACAGATATTTGTCTGATGGGGCATAATGTATCAATACAAATAGTCCTGAGCCTTATTGAAAACATGGTCTGTACCATAAGTACAGACAAAACTGAAGTAACTTGTCAGGATAAAATACCCTTTAAAGCAGCAAAGTTGTTTTGAGATCCTAAAGACTATGTGTTTTGAGGAATACTGATTAAAGAAAGTTACTTGAAATGTAACATAGTATAATTGGAAGTTATCTTTGTCGGAAACATGTTCTACATGATAATATGTAGGACTTTGGGATCTAGGAGAAGATATCCACAACCTCCCAGGGTTCTTACACCCCAATTTGAGAAACACTGGTCTACATTTATGAAATCTTTTACTTATATTAATCAACTTAGAGCTATAACTATTTATTGGAATTTGTTTTAAAGGGGTGAAGTCTGATCCGGGTTTGTACTCGTTCTCAAGAAGAAGGACGGGCCAGCATCAGGCGGGTTGAAAGCCTGCGCTAGACAGCATCCCAAGGTAAGTTTTTTTTTTTTTTTTAAAGATTTATTTGTTTATACAGAACTGGGGTACAGGCCAGAGATGCGGAGGGTGGGAGGAGCCACCAGAGACAGAGTGGGGAGCAGAACAGGCAGACTGTCAAAGTACACTGCTGAGGGGAGCAGCGGGCGGGGCGGGCCAGGAGAGATCTGCCATGCCATGTGGTCACCTCCGGGGCAGGCGGGGACCAAACTCATGCAGAAATGGCTTAAGCTTCTTAGTGCTGCACTTTAACCCTCTGCGCCACCAGGGAGGGGCCACAAGGTAAGTTTTACAGTATTTCTGGACTTTGTATTTCAAGTCATTGCTTAAAATAAACTCTAGCAGTTGTAAAAAGGGAAACTCTGGAGATGTTAGCATCTTCAAAATTGAGATGATCTTTATGTTACTGGTATAAATAGCAATACCAAAGACATGATTCCTGTCAGGGGATTTGCTCTCATAGAGGATGCAGAAATATCAGGCATTATGGTGCTTGGTAGGTCGATGAGTACCATAAAAACTTTGGGAAACTTTTTGGGGGTGTGAATGAAGAGGAGTGGAGAGACACTCTTAGTGAGCAAAGTGGTGGCATGTGGGAAATGGAGGGCGTTCCAGGAAGCGGCTTCCCCAGCCAGCTCCGGGCATATAGACTGAGGTCTTGGAGGCACTGTAGAGCTCTTGTTCTTTGCTGGTGCATTTTAATGAAGCACATGTTCTCTTAGATGGAGTGAATCACTTTTTTTTTATCGGTTTTTGGGCAGGAGTGAGATGTTAGCAAAATTATGAAAAAGTTCTGAACTGGGAATGAGAACACTTAACCATTGGTCCTGGTTCTCACCTTGCTTCAAAGCTCGACTTCATTATCTAGGGACTGCAGATGACAGGGACTTGAATACTCCAGCCTCAGAAAATGACATCCGATTGTTTGGAAAGATTTCAAGGGCTCTAAAAAGAACACTTTTGGGGATATTTTTCTGAATTATTGTTATTTCTTTTTTTTTTTTAAGATTTATTTATTTATTCATACAGAACTGCGGTACAGGCCAGAGGGATGCGGAGGGTGAGAGGACCCACCAGAGACAGAGTGGGGAGCAGAACAGGCAGATCTACGAAGTACACTGCTGAGGGGAGCAGCGGGCGGGCCAGGAGAGGTCTACCACACCATGTGGTCGCCTCCGGGGCAGGCGGGAATTGAACTCATGCGGAAGTGGCTTTAGCTTCTCAGTGCTGTGCTTTAACCCGCTCGCCACCAGGGAGGGCCTGTTACTTCTTTTTTGACTTTTCCTCCTTACAGAATCTTAATATATAACATGGAGGGAAGTTCTCTGACCCCAGTTTTTGTGTATCTTTCCCTTTATTCTTTAGCTCTTCTACTTATCTGCTGTATACCAGTCTCAAGCCTTCTGATGTCTCAGGGTTGTGGCTGAATCAACCCTTGTGGTTCTTATTAGATTTTAAGACACTTTCAGTAATAACCATCAGGAAACTTTGAGAGAGACATGGTTTATTACTTAAACTGGGGTTTTGGATCAAAGGTGGGGGCCAATGATTTCGTGCAAAAGCATGGGGAGAGAATGAACAAGCCACAAGCTGCCCAAATGGTCCAAGTTCAAAATCCACCAAAATCTCTAAAAGGAGCTTGGGTGAGGGTACAGCATGATGATCTAATCCTTTAACTGGCAGTAGGTTTATGCATAATAGCCACCTTTGAAGATAGCGCTTTGGCAACCAAAAAAAAAAAGCACTTAAATCAGGCAAGTGCTTTATAAAAAGGAGAAAACTCAACTCTCAGGGCTTATACTTTACTGCCTTTCTATAATTTACCAACATACTTCTTTAACTACCCCACTAAATCATATAATATCACGGTGGCTATGATTAAACACTCATAATAGCTTTTCAGTGTATCTGAACCCTGGCTATTCAGTGTATACCTGGATGGGAATTTGTGACTTGAAGTAAAGAATTTAAAGTTGATCCATGGTGGCTGTTAAAATATTTTATTTGTGAAAGCAACCTGGGAAATTTTTTTTTTTTTGCTACTATAAAGAGAAGAACTGATACCTGAACTGAGTAGTTTCCCCACACCTTGTAAACTTGAATTGCAAAGAGTACTGATATGTATGGTTAAAGCAGCTAAAATCTTCCTCTGCCTCAAGTCTTACAGACTGGATTGGAGGACGCCTTAATTTTTTCACTACCACATTTTGGGATGTAGACAAGTAGCATGTAACATAGGTGTTTTTCAAAATATAACTCAAGTTGGAGCTCAGGTATCTGAGACTAAGCTGACTAGGTGAGTCTGACAAGTTAAACTTAATGACTCTATGCAATTATGTATCAGTTGTAAGGGTGTCACTGAATTGACTATGGTTTTGTTGGTGATTTAGCCTTAACTTGACTGCTCTTTCTTGAACTCTCAAATTAGAGCACTGCCTCAGGCTGTTCAGCTCCTTGTGCATCTTATACAAATGAATTTGATAAAGAGTTCTTATTTGCTTGATCTTAATAGCCAGTTTCTACACTTTCCCCCTCATTTTCAGATTAAATTACCCATACAGCCATATAAACTTTTCCTTGGGTATGAATTTCTTTATCCAGTTTTTTTTTTTTTTAAAACTGAGAGCTTAAATAATTGGAGGTGAAAAGAGAAGGGAAATTCATGTTCCCTATGTAAGGTAGGGAAGAGCCATTCTGTGACTCCCAAGTAAATCTGCCAAAGTACATGTTTACCACCTGAGTAGATTCATTTTTTGGCAGTATCCAAGTGTGAAATTCACCATTTTAAATTTGTTCAACTGGTGTGCTGATTTAAACAAGTGTTCTTATTAATATGATTGTCACATGCATTGTATATGGTTTTGTAATCTAAAACAGCATAACTGGATTGGGCATGATTTTAGTATTTTAGAGTAGATATTAGTTTGAGATACTCCTTCTGAAATCTGTGTAACAATTTTTTTTTAAAGATTTATTTATTTATACATACAGAACTGGGGTACAGGCCAAAGGCACAAGAGTGGTGAGAGGCATCACCAGAGACAGAGTGGGAAGCAGAACAGGCAGATGGAGCAGCAAAGTGCACTGCTGAGGGGAGCAGTGGGCTGGTCAGGAGAGGTCTGCCACGCCATGTATGTCACCTCCGGGGCAGGCGGGGATCGAACTCATGCTGCAGTGGCTTTAGCTTCTTAGTGCTGTGCTTTAACCCGATGTGCCACCAGGGAGGGCCCTGTGTAACAATTTTAAGAGTAGGAAGCTTTTCTACTTTTCCTTTTTTTCACTCAACATTTTGTTATGAACATTTTCAGAAATGTTGAAAGATTTGTTCATTGAATACCCACATACCAGTTAGGTTTTACATTTAATATTTTGCTGTATTTGATTAAACTTTCCTTCAAACAAGAATTTCCCATGAACCCTTTAAGTCTTTGTTGTCACATGCTTGCTATATTAATGTACTTAGCCAAATATTGCTTTTTAAAAGCAGTGTTTTTAAAAAACTGCCACAGAATCTTATCATTATTGGAATGCTCTTTGGCACAAAACACTTTTATATATTGCTCGCCACTGTTCTTTTCTCTAAGCTCCAGTTAACAGAACTAGTTTGCTGCCAATCTGGCAACGCAGTTCCATTATGAGGAAGTTATATAGGGCTGATCCGATTATCTTTATGGTGAAATATAAATATGGTAAAATGTGAAGATACCTCCTATATCTCTGAGAATCTTTGCACAGGCTTCAGAGTTGAAAGACCTATGGGTTAAGATGTAGGTTTAAGTGCCACTTGGCCACCTTCTCGTTGTATAACGTCCAGGGAGGCTCACCTGGATTTTCAGGTTCTTTCTCTGTATATTGAAAATGTTGGATTTCATGATTATTAATATCTCTTCTAGCTGTGTTGCTTGTGTGATTTGTGTAATTTCGAAGTATTCAAGCCAGTTGACTGGCTGGCTATACTTGCTTATTATGTTACTTTGACATTTTGTTGGACTAAGAGATAACAGATTAAGAATCTCAAAATTCTCCTTGGTGGTTGAAGTGTGTGGTGACATGCACCTGAGAAGCTGTGAACTATGCCTCTGAGTCAAATATAGCATTGTAAAATGATGTCACCTTGATTTAAAGATTAAAAAGAAAATCTCAAAATTCTTGTTAATGAATATTGATTCCTAGTGAAAGGTATTACTCTATACCAGTTCCAAAAGGTAGCACTTTCTTTCACCTGAGAATCTTTTTAAGGGAAAGAATGCTCCATAAGTATGTCATCATTATAATAATGAACAAAAAATAGAGAACTTTGATGCTAAAGCAGCCGTACTCTATAAACAAGATCAAAAGATATGATTACAAAGAATAGTTTCCTTTCCAATACTTTACCTAAACAGCCAGAAATGAATTTGAGCTTGGATCTGTTAAATTTTTTGTGTGTGTAAACACACTTGCACATGACATATTTGTTTACCATAATTAGTGGGGATTTTAGGAAGGAGCATAAATAAGGATTGAGAATAATGTTGCCAGGAGATTGTGAAACTTTTCTGCTTATTTTGAGAATATCATAGAGTATCTTTGGACTTTACTGGACATCCTATATAGAGAATAGAGTTGAATAAGTGATGGTTCAAATACTGTTGCTGTAACTTGCTTGGTATTGACATAAAGGTTCTTATAAAGTGGTAATCCTTGATCAGGGATTTGGAAGCCATATCTGGTGCTCACCTCACCTCACCTCACCTCATTTTATAAGTGCTTTTGAGATCTCAAACCTGGCTTAGATCTGTTTCAGTGAGCTCCTATCCTACAGTAAAGGCAGCTACCCAGTTACTAAAAATGCTCAAGTCCATTGCCCCTGTGGGCAGTAGCAGCAGTTACTCTGTTATCACATCTTGAAGCATTTCAGCAACAGATGACCTTTAGGCCATAAATTTAATCAGCGCTTATGGTGGCCATTGGTTTGTTTCTTATTTCCATTTACTTCATTTTCTAAGCTTGACTAATCCTCCTTTCTAAGCTTGACTAATCCTCCTGTGATACTGTCAGCACTCGCCAAACAGGGAGACTGAACAGGTTAGGGAGGAGAGATAGGAGACACTTATACCTAATGCTTCAGGTTAATGCTTCCTAGCTTTTTATCTTGAGTTTTTCTCAGTAATTTTGGTATCTTACTGAACTGTCTTTCTTCTCAAGGACATTCTCAAGTGAGGACTGCAAACAGCTCTATGAATGTCCCACATTTAGCAGATCTTTCATTTTGAAAATCTGGATAATCGCCAGTTAATCTAAGAGGATGACTTGCAGTCCACCTGCAGAAAAAAGGTAGCTTGTGGAGCTTGTTTTTGGGGGGATTTCACTTTCTCCAGATCTTCCTTTAACACAGAACATGAACTATGTTTTTTTGTTTTGTTTTGTTTTGTTTTAGTTTCCATAGATTGTAACTTTTCCACAACGAGTTTGGCCTTTTATTTCCCCTTCAGAGGTAAACCCCAGAGAAGGCTATAAGGGCAAGGCTTGATCCCCATTTCACAACTGAAGAAGGAGAGATGCAAAGCAATAGCTAGTTATAGCTAGTTAGCAGAAGGGAGAGAACAAACCTCTGCCTTCTGATTGGAAAACCTTGAAATTAGTACCATCTTTGGCTGACTGATATTAAGTCTGAGGATTTGCTGATGAATAGGACCAACCTGATCTCTGGTCATGGTCCCGTTTGGGCAGGTCTGCTTTCATTGCCACAGTCATTGTTTTAAGAAGTTGAGGGTTTGTTAATTTGAAAAACAGCTTGCTAAAAGGTAGCAACAAACTCCAGGGTGTTTGTAAGCTATTTATTGACTGTCACATACCTTGCCTTTCTTTTTGAAAAGATTTATGTCTTGTTTTTCTTTATGCAGAGATTTGTTTACCTGTGGTAATGACTGGGGTTTTATAAGCCTGTAACTATTCTTGAGTTCTCATAATATTCTGGGACTTTGGGACTTCGTTATATAAATTGCTCAACATATGTACCATTTAATCTGAGTAGAAAACAATTCTACTGACTTTGGCTACAGCATCTTACCATGTAACCTACAAGATTACATGATGTAATCGTACAAATTAAAAGAGGGGAATGCTACACAACTAGGTTCTACACAGTCCTAAATCGCCACCCCTCAATCGTTCTGTAGCAATGAGTAGATATAGTTTAATCCAGCCACTAGTTGCCCACTGGAACAGACTTTGCAAGTGTACTGCATGTCAGTAATTTATTTTTCTTTTATCTCTTTCCAGATCTCTCTCAGAAGAATAGGCTTGTTGCTTTACAGTGTTAGTGACCTAGTCCCTTTGACGGTCCCTTGGTGGAGATGGGGCATGAGGATCCTCCAGGGGAAAAGCTCACTATCACTGGGCAACAATCCTAATCCAGGAGAGGAGGTTCTACCAAGATTCTTCCTGGGCCAGGTGGGTAGATGAAAATTCAAGACAATTACCACAAATCAGGGATGGGAATGTAGTCCCTAAAAGCATCATTGGTCTTCAACAAAGGAAGGGAGGGTCAGAGGGGGCTCAAAACAGGGGAGAGAAGAACACAAAGGAATAAATATGGTGATGCTTCATGGGTGATATGGTAGTGGCAGAATTATGGGGAATACAATGCTGTAATAATGAAAGAGCCCTTAATCCTGATGTTGTTCTCCAGTAGGTATTGTACATAGCTTTCCACCGAGATTGCTTTCATCATCAGTTGTGTCTGTGCTTTCTTTTAGGAGAGCATGCACATTGCCACCTTTGTGTTACTGGTTCTTGGGCAGATCATCAATCTGGAGCCTCTGGTCTGCAAAGTCTCCCTTGTGGTCCTTGTAGAACTTTGCCAGTCATTTACTTACTTCAAGATGCTTTGGGATGTCCTTGGGATAAAATACAGCAAATTGCTTGGGAAGACAGATGCCTCTCTTTAAGCCATGATGGAAGCTTCACAACTATGATTGGGAACCTGACCAGGCACAAAGTTATATTGCACCAGGCAAGAGCTAAAGAAACAGGACCCGGCATGCCCTAGGTCAGTAATGAGAAGGCTGATGGGGGATTGCAGGTTGGGAGGTGGAGGTGTAGTGTAGTAAGTCCAGCTTTGTACAGATTAGTAATGAACTAAATGAACAAGTTTATGATTGTTTCTAGTGATTCACCAAATGTTATTAGATAAGACATTTCCTATTGATGCCAGTTTCTTATTTTGTTGAATGATGAAATTGTTTTAGTTTTATCTCTAAGGACCTAACAGCTTAAATGCATGCATTTCTAACCCCTCTAGAGACAGTTTCTATAGCTCACTAGTTTGAATCTTCCCGTTAAAATGTGTCGAGTAATCTCTTAATATTTCTTTATGGCATTTACATGGCTTATCTCTCTTTCTCGCTCTTTTTTTCTTGTAGCTCTTGATTGTTTCCTTCATACCTACCAAATCATTAATCCTGCTCAAAGGCAGGGCAGAGAGTATGAAATTTGAACACACCAAAAGAAGATCAACACGCATGGCACACTGATGCTTTAAAATAGCAGCATGAAGTAAGTAGGTGGTGGTATAATCTTGTGAGGGTCACTTCACAGCTGATAACTGTGTATGTGGGGTGGCGTCTGGGGTCTAACATGCAGGGTAGCTTAGTGTGAGATGGAAGGATGACAGTGATGGTATATTGCCAACTGGGTTCACTGAAGCAACTCATAGACATTACAGGTTGTTTACCAGTTGTATCGTAAAGTAAGTCAGCCTCTCTCAAATTGTTTAGGTACACAGCTGAGAGCCTTTGCTACTATTAGAAGACTAAACAACATATAGAGACCTAAAACAAAATAACTTTTTTTTGGCTGAAAGGGTAGCCCTCTTACTTCCTTGTAAGGCAGTCTATCTGCAATTAACATTTAGTGTTAGAGGAAACTCAGTAACTGAATCTGCCATTATAATTGAGAAGGGTATGAAAATCAAGTCCCTTTTCTAAAGGGACATAGACAATGAGGGGATTGACAAGGTGCTCTGTGAAGACCCTTTATATTCACTCATGTATGGCATCTTGTTCAGTTCTTCCCTTAACAGTTGTACCAGAGGCACATATTAAGAGGCACATATTCTGTGCTTAAATCCTCTACCTCTCATTAGGTGATGAGTGTCTGATTGGACAATTAGAGTGTCTGATTAGAGTTATCTACTTGTGAAGGTTAAATGAAATCATGTGCTTAGTACCACACCTGACATGCAGTAAGTAGATGATAACCCAAGAAGCTTCCTCAGATCATTGACATAGGGACTAATAATACCATCTAGTGGCAAGCAAAGTTGCCAACAAGTTTTGGCTCTGTGTAAAAAGTTTCCAAGATAGCACTTTGTAAGTAGAAGAACAGCTGTGTTGGGTTGGTGTAATTTTCACTATTGGTAGTAACATAAGTAGCACTGGTGTTAGTAATAATTGCTTTTTGTAGGTATTAATGAACTTCTTGGTTTTTTTTTGTTTTCTCTTTGTGATGCTTCTTGTGTCTCTCATGTCCTTTCATTGTACAATAGCTTGTCTCTTTTGCATCTTAACCTCTTCTGCTGAATGTCTGCCTCCGCTTGCTATCACTTTCACTCCTAAGTGTGTACTTCTTTGTCCAAGTCTTCCTTGAATGTCTTGGTCTTTCTTCTCTGTCTAAAGTGTGTCTTAACCCATTTCTCTGGTTCTCTTGCTAGTTTTTTTCCAAGTGTATCTTTGTCTTACTGTCTTTTTTGTTCCTAAGAGTGATCTGTGCCTTGTCTTAAGTGTCTTTCTCGTTTTCTCTTTTTTCCCCATTTTTTGCTCATTCTCTTTGCTTTCCTGTATCTGCCTCTTTCACTCTTCATCCCTTTGTGTCTCTGTGTCTCATGCTGTGTGCTTTTTGCTTTCTTGTTCTGCCTACTTCACTTTTTCTCTTTGTTGCTCTGCTTGTTTGTAACCCCTCCCTTTCTTGTTGGTGTGACGTTTCACTTTCTTCTGGTTCTGGTCTCTCTTCTGTTGTTTTTCTTCCATAGCTAATATTTCTCCGGCATTTCCTTTCTGCCTCTTGGCTATCTTCTTTCCTTTATTCCTGCTTTGTGTGCCTCGTGGCTATCTTCTTTCCTTTATTTCTACTTTGTGTGTCTCAGTGTCTCTGCTCATTGTGAATTTCCATTCTAGTGGTCGTCTGTCTGTTTTCTTGGATCTTCTCTTTCCCTTTCTGCTCACCTTTGAGTGTTTCAGCTACTTCATGAATTTGTGTCTCTCCTTCTTTGTTTCATACAAGCCTCACTCCTTGCATATTTTTTGTGCCTCTGTGTGCGCTTTTGTGTGCTTGTCTGTATTCTTTGTGACAAAGGGGCCCCTAACCCCGCCTCTATAGGTGCAGAGTGCCGGCTACCAAAACAAGTGTTGTGTAACTGATATTGATGCCAGACTGTCCTTCTTGCAAGATGCCCCACGACCAAAAGAAGGCCCAAAGGTCTCAACTGAAAGAAGAGCTAAGATAGTAGCAGACTGGCCCAATAGAAGACAGATGTCTTAAAACTATAGACTTAAGACCTGAAAACTGAAGTGGAAAGATACATGTCCCAAGATAGATGGAAAGCTCAGCTGTGAAGCCTTCCAAAAAAGAACCAAAATGTACAGAAGTTGCTGCTTGTTGGACAGATGACTTGAGTTGGATGCAAACTGTCTTGATTCAGAAGGCTCACAACTCTGAGGCTGAAGGCCTAAAACTGCAGACCCATGGAATGTTTGAAACTTAAGATGTATGCTTAAGACCTGACATTAAACAGCTTTAGCTCGGAGATCTGAGACCCTAGGACGGAATGCCCGAGACACACACAGAAGGCTTTAATTCAGCATCTCTAGATGAACAGAGGCTCATGAGGTGGGAAAGCCCATGACCTGGAATATAGGAAGAATAAAATCTCAAACCAGAAGAAATCCCAAGATCAGAACACTAAACTTCAGCTCTTTTCTGTTGCTGTACTGTTTGCTCTTGGTAGTTTTCTCATTTTCCAGTTCTCATATTTCCAGCCCCCTATTTTTGATATCTTTAGATTTCTCACTATGATTCCTGGACCATCTTAAACATTTTTTACCGCAGTTCTGAGCCACTTATCCACTTTTAAGTGTTCTTTAAACTTGCTTTCTCTTCATCTCCATTCTGTCTAAGAGAGGCATGGGTGCCATATTTCAGTCCTCCCCTTTCCTCAAAAGTTCTAGGCTGATGATCAGAGGAATGGCACCAGGTTGCTGGGGGGCAAAAATACCATGCTCTCTAGAAAAAACTTGAAGAGATGTTCCAGGTCAGTTGGAAGAATCAGATAAGAAATACACAGATGTGCCAGCCTGCTGAGAGGTACCAACTACCACCTTACTTCTTTGAGCTTAGGTGAGCAGGAATCCTGGGCTATAGACTTCTTAGTTATGGTTAAAGTGCATTCAAGGATGCTAGGGCCTGGGAGAGGCCCCGAGGAGATAGCTTGAATTCCCTGCTCATTGTAGTGGTCTAGTAATTTGGCAGATTGGGCCAGCCCATCTCTGGGCTTAATATCTACCTCAAGGCTTAAAGGTAATAGAACTGGGAATATTAGCTGACTTAATCCTTTCATTGAGCTCTTTTCTTCCTCCTCATTCACTGAGTATCATGAGGGAAGATGATTTAAATATTTATAAAAAACATTGTAAAACACAGAAAAAACAAAGCGTTCTTAATAATATATTGGCAGCCATGCATGGCTAACATTTGAAAGTGCGCTGTCAGTTGTAAAGCATTATGGAAAAATGGGGATCATCATTCTTTTCCTCTAAAGGGTCATATGGTCTCTGTTTTATTTTTTTTTTAAACAACACTTTAAAAAGAAAACTTACTCTTAGCTCACAAACCAAACAGATTTGGCCTATGGGCCATGGTTTATCACTCCTGATGTAAATGTCAGTGACTGTGTGCTGAATATTAATTTCCTTCTGTGTGCCTGTCCCTATGCCAAGGCACTAAGGATGTAGTGATTAATCATGATCACATCCAGGTGATCAGAATAAAATTATGCCGTGTGCTTTGTAAACTATAAAGCACTTAAAGACTGAGTACTATGCTCATGATAGAAACTGGGAGTTTGATAAAAGAATAATTCATGTATTTGTGGCCAACTTGTTTCAGCTGCTATGATTTTGAGTAAAATTACAGTATTTCATATAGCAGAAAACATTTAGAAATTACTTTTAAAGGTATTAAATTATTTTGATCACTTATAATATGCCAGATAAACTGCATAAGCACTAAAGATATCAAAATATGAAAGATATCACATTATTGAACTGAACATTTCAGAAAGGAAGTGCAAATTAAAAGTGCTTTGTAAACAAAAGCACTATATATAAATACCAGTGGATTACTGCTTATGAGTCAAAGAATAAATATTAATTGGCTGGTTTGTGCCAGCTATTAGTTTGGGTACTATGAAATCCAAGATAGTACTCCCAAGTAATAAGAGGGACATTTATATCCTCTTCTATTTAGCTGTAAGCAATTCATATTGCTTATTTTAGTCAATCAAGAATTTATCAGTGATATAAAATTATTACTGGTATATTTTCCCAGGAAACAGAGGAAAGCCTAATAAATATGATATGCTTTCTAAGCTATAAAGCACTATATAAAAGCATTAGCTATCTTCCATGTGAATAAAACTTTGTGGAAGGTAAACATTGTTGCTACAAAATTCTCATAAGTGTTTGATCCACTGTGAGAAGTGTATAAATAGTTATATAGTCTGGGTGTTTAAATACTTGTTAAATGAATTAATATCAACTGTGCACTATGTGAAATGGGCACTGAAGAGCACAAATTTTTCATTTTGTTGTGCCTGTAACTGAGAATAAGGTCATATATACCTTATAATTTTATTAACTCTAAAGCACCATATAAACATAATGATTCACTTTCTCATTTGGTGCTGAGTACTAGTACCAAGTACTAAGTACTAGTACCACGAATACCGTGGTATCATAGTTATGATTATACTTGATGAAAAATGTCAGACTTTGAACATTTGTTAACTGTTGAACAGTTTGAAAGGATATGTAAGAGATTAAGTCTCATGAATGCAAGAATGGAAATTAACTATTTCCGGTATATGTGCCAGTCTCCTCTTTAAGGCATGAGAAATATAAATTGTGTCATGGGTAATAGAAGATGATATCTAAAATCAATTTATAAGCTTTATTCTACTATACATATATGTATATGTGTGTGTGTGTGTGTGTATATATATATATATATATATATATACATATATAAACTATCTGCTGAATGTACATTGATTTATTTTACTCTGTTTTATCCCCAGAGATAGCAGCTGGGGCTACAAAAATTTCATTATTATTGAGCCTGCAAGAGGGATCTGTGAGTGCAAATTTACAAAGCCAACTGTTTTGTACAGATATAGGAATTTACTGTTGGCTTAATGAAAGAATAATGATTACTTTCTATGAGGCTCAGAATGTCTCGGGTCCTAGGATATAAAAATAATTTTATCATTATCAGGTGCTCACAGAGGAAATGAGGTTTAAGAGTCAGATTGAAAGTTACTTACCTACTGCTTAAAGCTTATTTGATGACAAAAACATGGGGAAAATGACTTTCTTTAAGGAGTTATACTAAATGCTGAAATTGATGGAGAGAGAAAATCCAGACAAAAAGTCTCCTTGCTCCCTGGCCTGACAGAAGAGATGGGCAATTAAAAATAGAAAAATGAAAAACCCGAGATGTGGTTCTGCATCAGTTTTTAAAATTCTGAATGCTGAAAACAGAGATGAGGTAGATTTACCATGGCCTGGCTTGGAGACATTAAAAGAATAAAAATAAATGGCTCAGATTTGCTGTTCGATTCAGTTGATGAACGGAACATCTTTCATGTGGATGGAGTATGTCACTCTAGGCCCTGACTCTTAAGTGAAATGGACCTAGCCTTGAGGGCATTACGTCACAGATCATTGCTAAAGATACAGAACAATCTTTGACGTTTGAATGAATATTTGAGTGCCTTTTCTCTCAAGGTACAATGCTAGATGAATTATTCAAGTTCATCTGGTCCATAAGACCCATTGGTTTGCCTTACAGATTTAAAAAAGAAAAAAAAAGACACTTTTTTTTTCCCATCATAAAATTAAGATATTTCTCCTAGCTCTTTCCCAATGTTACTGGCTCATTGACCTAGTTTGAAACCAGAGGACTGGTAAAGGACTCAGGATTTGTCCTTTAGTTGATTAATTTACATTCTGAATTTATTCTAGTTCAGTTGTTTTAAGATGAGAATGAAAACGAGCCACTGGTTTTAAAAGTATTTGCTCATGTCTCCTGACTTCTGATTTGAGGAGACACATGGCAGTGAAAAGATTTTAGATTTTCCATATCTTGTTAAAATTTATTCTCCCTGAATAAATTACTATTCTTAGGTGCTGAGGAGAATAAAAAGATTTGAAAGACTTAGACTTGAAATGCACTTTAATCTCACTACGTTATGTTGGAAACACAAGAAATTTAATAAGAGACTGCAATTCTATCTTTAGTTGAAAAAACTTTATTGAACAGCTGTGGTATTAAGGCACTAAGAAGGAATGCTTAAAAGGTCACCTTCTCCTTGGCATGTTTTATGAGCAGGAACAAAAGGATGTTTTATTTATTCATTTTTATGAACATTGAAAGTGATGCTAAATGCTAAAGGAAATATATCTGGTGCTAATGGCACCTAGTCTGACTTAGAGAGACAAAAAGCTAAGCACGTGAAACTTCATTAAATGGAAGTGTCTAATTCAAGACATCGTGCTAATTCCTAGACTGAAAATAATCAGAGATTTCGACCTAACACTTCCTTATTAATTGATATGGAGACTAGATTATGAGTGGTTACTGCTCATTCATTTTATGTATTCTTTTATTCTCTGTAATTCAGTGCCTAATACGTATAAATAATGCCCTTTGGTAGGTTCTTAGTTGGCCTCAGAGAAATGAAAAATGAATGCCTCCCCAGAGAACTTAAACATGTTTTCATTTGGCCTGTTTTCTTGTTCTGGGCATGGCTTAGCCCCCTAAATAACACTGTGGGTTATTCCTACGTCATGTTTCTTCTCTCTGGCCACTACAATAAGCAGGGAGTTCTACTGAGCTTGCTCCTTAAGTTGCAGGAACCCTCCTCAGACGCTGTTTAATTGGTCCCCATAAAAAATGGCTGCGACTATGGGTGGTCAGAAGGAGGGTTGACAAACAACTAATACCAGAACCCCAGTCCCATCAGTATGGTTCTTGGGACTGAGCCCATACTCAAGCCACGATGGGTTTTGAAACCTGTTCACCACTTTTGTCTCTTTTGAATGCTTTACCTGTTTATATTCTGATAAATATATGCTGGCTACATAAATCTCTTCAAAGTACAATCCTCAGAGAGTACTTAGCAAAATGGAGATGGAGATAGGGTTTCTATTTTGCAACAGTTCTCAATTTATATCTCAGATGATTTACCATCAATCTGGTCAAGAAAAGATTTATAGTAAAATAGTGTCATTGAATGAAAATAGCTCAGCATTTTTATGCTAAGTGTTAATTAACATCAACAAAATAAAAATTGGAAGTGATTGGCAAAAACCAGGAGGGAAAAAATACCCCAAAACAATCCATTAAATGTGGACCCGAATGGGCTTTGACCTTTTCTATATTTATATCACTCACAGAGGGTGGGATAGGAGGAAGAGTGAAAGAAATGGTCAAGCCTATTTCTAAGGTCAGCCTGCCTTTGTTCTGGATTGGTTTTAGGGCATTACTACCTCCAGGTATAAATTAAGATTGCTTTTGTAAAGTTGAGTGCAACTTCCAATAATTGGTCACTGTTGAGATGAGAACAAAGTCTTTTGTTCCCACTGATTCTGTAAGTTTTTGAGAAACAGCAAGTTTTGGCTGAATCAACTCAGCTTTGAGTTTTATAGTCACGAGATTCATTGAATCAGTGTGCCCTCTCCATCATAAGGAAGCCTTAAAGCAGGAGTCAAAATTCACTGAAAATAAAGCCTTTATGTAATTCACACACACTTTCAAAGTGTCTAAATTTTAGGTTACATGGCAAGCCAACAATAGTATTTATAAATCAAAAGCAAATATGTGAATGACAGAATTGGTGAAGGGCACAAAATTTGAGGATTTCAGGTTGAAGTTTCTTGTTTTTACTTTGTTGCATTTTAATTTAAGCACTGGATACATCTGAAATACTGACCTTTGTCTTTTAATGCCTGCCATTAGCTAAACTCATTACCCTTCCTTTAGCTCGGGGTGGGGGTACATTATTGGAAAGTAGAAAGGAGAAAATAACTAAAGGCCTTCCTTTCACAGTTTCTGGCATCTTAAGACTACCACTACTGATAAAACAAGAATAAGAGAACTTACTATCATCTGATTTTGTGGCATAAATGAAGTTGTGAACAAATCCGATATTAAAGGAAAGCTCTTCATCGCTACCCTTCTACCTCAAAGAGAATCTTAAACCAAAGTGCTTCGGTAAATGAAAGACATATTTTGACTTATGAACTGATGGAAAATGCAGACTCTGACCCTTCAGTGGTTTGAAGATTGACCAGTCTTGCTCAGTATTGGGACCTCCAAAGAGTAGTTTAAAGCCATCTGCATGTGACAACTAAGAAAATGGGAGAGTTTGTTTTCCAATGTTAAATAAAATAATACTTTGAAAACTTTGTATATTGATGTGAGAAGTTCTAACACTCTTTCCTCCAAAGCACAGTAGTTATCTCACTTTCTTTTCTCTCTGTCTCCGTTGGGGCCGGAGGGCACTTGCAGGGCTGGTGGGCAGTCTGGGCCTGGCACCCAGTAGGTGCTAGTGGGGCCAGCAGCACTTTGGGGGGACAGATTCCCCACGGTGTGAGACATTTCCCTGACTTTTCCCATGCCGGGAGCACCCGTTGATAATGCTCAGTGACCAAGGCCTCTGGTGCTGCCTCAGGGCGAGGAGGGGGCCAGGGGGGTTGATCCTGCTGAGCCCTGGTACTCAGAGCTGCAGGCTGAGGGGGAACCTTTTTCCTGGGTAGCATCCCAGCTGGAAAATCAGGCAGCTTCCCGTGTTCCTTCCGCATGTGCTTGGTGACTCTCGGGACATCCACTCTGGAATAGAATTCGATGTGGACCCATCTGGAATAGAATTCGATGTGGACCCATCCGCAGAGCACACTCTTGGACCCATTTGGCCCCTGGTAGAGGAGCTGCCTGCACCTCCCCTTTGTGGGTGGTGGTGGGGCCAGCTGAGACCCAATGCCAAGAGGACACCAGGAGCCCTGGACACAAGTTCATTCAAGGACACAGGGAGAGAGCAAGCAGAGCTGCCATGCTCCTGGAGGCCCAAGGGTGCAAGGTTAGCCCATGGGGGAGCTCCACACTCAGCACCCTGGCTTAAGAAAGGGTCAGCTCTCTGTCATCAGGGGGGTCAGCAGGGCCAAGGGCTCCCCATCCTGAGACCCGGCCCCTCAAGTCCCTGCACTGGAATCAGGCCTACATGGGTCAGGCAAGGCCAGCATAGTTCTAGCTGCCAGCAGTTTGCTGCCGGTTCACCCCATGGGCCACTGGAAGCACTGAGGCCGGCAGGCCCCGAGCAGCAGCTTAGAAGCCCTTGAAACCCACTGATCTGCAGATCCCTGGTCAGTGCTGCAGCCTTAGTGAGGGGAAGGAGGGTTGGTCACAGTGGATACTATGGTGGGTTCCAGAGAGGGTGACTGTTAACCCTGACAGCAGAGCTGCTAGAGAACAGTTGACTGTGGTGGTTGGGGGTAGAAGGGGGCCAGCCCAGGGGGGTGCCAGCTGAGTCAGCCCCCATAGGCTCCTCCAACCCCAGTGTAGCTCAGTGTATGTCTAGTGGGAGAGGGAAACCCAATTCTTCACAGGCAATGCTGCCAGTGGGGAAGGTGCAGGAGGGGGACCCTACTTTTTTGGAGGAGGGAAGACTGGAGGGGGAGTTGTACATTTCAGCTAAGCTCCTAGGATTTTGCCCAGAAATGCATGACTTTGGCACAGAGCTCAAACAGCCCCCATGGTGGGGAGATCTTGGCCAACAAATTAGCCAGGTGTTCTTGTGTAGAAAGACCTCAATTGTGGGAAAGCAGAATTTGGGAAACCAGGTAGACATGAACTGGAGGGGCTGGAAGACACCACAGAGTACTTATCTAATGGAAGTGGAAACTTTAGGGAAGATCCCCCTCCCCCA